TCATATCATGAATTCACATACAAGCACGCATGAGATGCAATCGAGTAAATAATGCAAGAAACATTTCAAAAATAACTTTGGAAACCGTTTAGGGTCACTCACCTCCACGGCTCAGAAATCATCCAGCATATAACATTGCCTTGCTCAAATCTAAGTCTTAGATCACAAACTCAATGCAAACAAATCCCTTCAAAGTTCGGACAGCACTTCCCCTGAATTTGCTAACTTTTCCAGCCATTATGACTTCATTATTTCCTCATTCCAACCCAAAGGTACACACACAACAACAAGTTCATCCAATAGCCATTCAGCAAGCTCCAAGTAGTACTAGTACAAGTCAAGCTAGAGAAAAGTCCGGAAATGAAAGTTAAGCTCAAAACCAGAAAAATAGTTTTGACGTCATTTTGCGGTATTGGTACCAAAGGCGCTACGATTGTCGGATGAAGGTGAAAGACCCACCATTTTGAAGCTAAGAGACAGGGCTACAATATTGCAGAAGGTCACTCAACCCAGTTTCGAGTGTAACCAGGTCAAAAATGCAAGATACCATACCAGAATCACAAAAACAGATTCACAGAACGCATTCTAGCGGAAACATCACAAAGCAGGCTATCCAAGTCCAAATCCAGAAATTCTAAAACAAACTGAAAGCTAAGAAACAGGGCTAAATTTCATCAGAAGACCTCAACAACCAATTCGGAAGCAATTCCAGCCAAAACAACCAATTACAGGCGCAATTCTTACATTCGGGTAAAACCAGAACAGCAATAGTAATTTCGACTTTTCTCATTCAACGCTACTCCGATTGACCTGAAATTTTGTAGGCACCTCTAAAATAGTATTCCCTATAACTTTCATGTTTTAACCCAAGGCCAATTCGGCCTCTATCTATGAGCTATAAATTCGGGCAGAATGCACAATCATAAACCCTAACTTTCCAAAATTTCTTCCAAAACAGAAATTGTTTGCAATTATCCACTTTTTTCACCTCATAGAGTCCTTAAACATCATTTTAAATCATCATACATGACCCATAATCATATCCGTTTGAAAACAGAAAAATTCCCAAAAATTATAAAACTTCATCAATTCAACCACAAATCAAGAAATAATCCATAATATTGCATTTCATACCACCACTAATCATGATTTAAGCATCAATTAAGGGAGGAGAGTGGTTCTTCACAACTCACCTTAGCAATACAAGAGATAGAGCAACTAGCCACCTTAGCTTTCCAAACAACTTCACAACCAAGCTCAACTCCACCAAACTAAGAGGTTTTATGGAGTAATTGGAAGATTAATCGGTTTAATTGAAAGATTGGGCAAGATTGGAGATTAGAAAATTGAGAGCTTTTCTTCCTTTTTTTGAGCAAGAGAATTCGGCCAAGAAGCTTGCAAAATGAAGAGATTTTTGGCCAATTTTAATTAAATGGTAAAGTTATGAATAGTAGTCAAATTCAAGACTAAATCTTATGGTGACACTTGTCACCTTTAGGTTTAAAACTTATCTTTTTGTCTCTCCAATACAAATATCTGAACACCTTGTAAAATAATATCACTTAATACAAAATTTCAACAAGTTGTCAAAAATATAATGCATTTACCGCACTAGCGGGTCCCACGTCCAAAATACGCTCTTAATTTCTCAGTCGAGACATCCTGCAAGAATCTCTCAAGCATTCCAAGCAGACACTAAGAGTCAAATCAAACCCACAGTCCGGCATCTAAACTTCAAGCCTTATGATACACTACAGAGATCTGAAGCCTAGGCTCTGATACCAACTGTGACAGTTCTCAGGGTCACATCACAAGGTACCTATCAGCTTGCCACCCGCACGCGGGCATCCCCTACGGAGAGTTTCGCTTCGTGACTCTTCACGAACGAGAGGCTCGGGTTTTTCCAGACGAAGGACTAGGGGTCCCAACTGTCGGCATATGGCTCTGATACCAACTGTGACAGCCCCACCTCCCCCTAAGGCAAACCAGAGGGTTCGGCGGGCTGCCTGCCCAACTCTCGCCGGGACTCAGTCGTTCACTAAAGTCCTCAAATAAATTGCAAGAATAAACCTCAAATATTACAATATAAATCTCCAATATACATCAAATTCTCCAAAAATTACATGTCATAAGCGAAGCAGAAACAATTCCCAACAATACATAAAATGATTCCAAATCCAAACTGTACAAGATATATGCCATCCAACCACGTGAATAAGGACTACAAGTCCTTCCTTCGCTACGAGCCCTGTGGAGGGGAATAAAATATTTTTGGGGTGAGCTAGAAGCTCAGCGAGTAACCGGTAAAATCAGTAATCAAATATATTTCACAATGTTGCATTTCGATGATTTCGATGATGTCATGATTCGGAAATCAAATGTACGTTTATTGCTCTCGTGAGCTAGTGAAATCATTGCACTTGAACACCCAATGCTCAAATAGATCATTTAATATTAACATTGAGAGAGAGCCCCTTTTTGAGCTCCAGATAAACATGAACATGAACCATAAACAGGATGGAGACGTTGGTGTCCAGCACAAGACTTTCCCAGAACTCATTGAAGCCAAAATCATATCATGAATTCACATACAAGCACGCATGAGATGCAATCGAGTAAATAATGCAAGAAACATTTTAAAAATAACTTTGGAAACCGTTTAGGGTCACTCACCTCCACGGCTCAGAAATCATCCATCATATAACATTGCCTTGCTCAAATCTAAGTCTTCGATCACAAACTCAATGCAAACAAATCCCTTCAAAGTTCGGACAGCACTTCCCCTGAATTTGCTAACTTTTCCAGCCATCATGACTTCATTATTTCCTCATTCCAACCCAAAGGTACACACACAACAACAAGTTCATCCAATAGCCATTCAGCAAGCTCCAAGTAGTACTAGTACAAGTCAAGCTAGAGAAAAGTCCGGAAATGAAAGTTAAGCTCAAAACCAGAAAAATAGTTTTGACGTCATTTTACGGTAATGGTACCAAAGGCGCTACGATTGTCGGATGAAGGTGAAAGACCCACCATTTTGAAGCTAAGAGACAGGGCTACAATATTGCAGAAGGTCACTCAACCCAGTTTCGAGTGTAACCAGGTCAAAAATGCAAGATACCATACCAGAATCACAAAAACAGATTCACAGAACGCATTCTAGCGGAAACATCACAAAGCAGGCTATCCAAGTCCAAATCCAGAAATTCCAAAACAAACTGAAAGCTAAGAAACAGGGCTAAATTTCATCAGAAGACCTCAACAACCAATTCGGAAGCAATTCCAGCCAAAACAACCAATTACAGGCGCAATTCTTACATTCGGGTAAAACCAGAACAGCAATAGTAATTTCGACTTTTCTCATTCTACGCAACTCCGATTGACCTGAAATTTTGTAAGCACCTCTAAAATATTATTCCCTATAACTTTCATGTTTTAACCCAAGGCCAATTCGGCCTCTATCTATGAGCTATAAATTCGGGCAGAATGCACAATCATAAACCCTAACTTTCCAAAATTTCTTCCAAAACAGAAATTGTTTGCAATTATCCACTTTTTTCACCTCATAGAGTCCTTAAACATCATTTTCAATCATCATACATGACCCATAATCATATCCATATGAAAACAGAAAAATCCCCAAAAATTATAAAACTTCATCAATTCAACCACAAATCAAGAAATAATCCATAATATTGCATCTCATACCACCACTAATCATGATTTAAGCATCAATTAAGGGAGGAGAGTGGTTCTTCACAACTCACCTTAGCAATACAAGAGATAGAGCAACTAGCCACCTTAGCTTTCCAAACAACTTCACAACCAAGCTCAACTCCACCAAACTAAGAGGTTTTATGGAGTAATTGGAAGATTAATCGGTTTAATTGAAAGATTGGGCAAGATTGGAGATTAGAAAATTGAGAGCTTTTCTTCCTTTTTTTGAGCAAGAGAATTCGGCCAAGAAGCTTGCAAAATGAAGAGATTTTTGGCCAATTTTAATTAAATGGTAAAGTTATGAATAGTAGTCAAATTCAAGACTAAATCTTATGGTGACACTTGTCACCTTTAGGTTTAAAACTTATCTTTTTGTCTCTCCAACACAAATATCTTAACACCTTGTAAATTAATATCACTTAATACAAAATTTCAACAAGTTGTCAAAAATATAATGCATTTACCGCACTAGCGGGTCCCACGTCCAAAATACGCTCTTAATTTCTCAGTCGAGACATCCCGCAAGAATCTCTCAAGCATTCCAAGCAGACACTAAGAGTCAAATGAAACCCACAGTCCGGCATCCTAAACTTCAAGCCTAGGATACACTACAGAGATCTGAAGCCTAGGCTCTGATACCAACTGTGACAGTTCTCAGGGTCACATCACAAGGTACCTATCAGCTTGCCACCCGCACGCGGGCATCCCCTACGGAGAGTTTCGCTTCGTGACTCTTCACGAACGAGAGGCTCGGGGCTTTTCCAGACGAATGACTAGGGGTCCCAACTGTCGGCATATGGCTCTGATACCAACTGTAACAGCCCCACCTCCCCCTAAGGCAAACCAGAGGGTTCGGCGGGCTGCCTGCCCAACTCTCACCGGGACTCAGTCGTTCACTAAAGTCCTCAAATAAATTGCAAGAATAAACCTCAAATATTACAATATAAATCTCCAATATACATCAAATTCTCCAAAAATTACATGTCATAAGCGAAGCAGAAACAATTCCCAACAATACATAAAATGATTCCAAGATAGGAAATGGAAGGAGTACAAATATATGGAGCCACAAGTGGATCCCAGACACTGATACAGGGAAGCCAACTACTAGACGAGGGAATCATTGTGAGCTGGAAAAAGTGGAGGAGCTTATTAGTCAGCATAGGTGGAACAGAAACATCATATTCAGATTCTTCAATAGCAATGATGCACAAAAAATTTTAGCTATTCCTCTGAGTCTAGCTGGTAGGGAAGATAGCTTTTATTGGCAACCAAAGGTGGGAGGGATGTACACTGTCAATTCTGGTTATAAATTTCTGATGAAGCAACACAGAAAGAGAGGCAGGCGCAGGCAGGAAGGAGCTAGCTCTAGCTATACAGCAAGTGATTCGGAGTTAGCTCAGATGTGGAATACACTATGGAGTTTAAACATCAAACATAAAATCAAAATTTTCATCTGGAAATGCATTCAAGGTGCCCTGCCTGTGAAAGCAACAGTAAATAGACGAACGGGGGTGGGTGATCCGATATGTAAGATGTGTGGATCAGCACAGGAAACAGTCGAACATCTTCTGCTGAATTGCCCCCACACGGAAAACATATGGAAGGCATCTCCCATTCAGTGGGATGGAGCAAAGGAGCAACAGGGAGATTTCAAAAGGTGGTGGCTAAGAATCTCTGAAGCAAGGCACAGGACAGAAGGGATGGAACACATTGGATTAACTGCAAACATCCTGTGGCAGGTGTGGAAAGAAAGAAACAAAAGAGAATTCGAGAACGCTACCTTTGATCCCCCTTTCAAATCTATAAGGAAAGCTCATTCGGAATGGTTAGAGCAGCAGCAAATAGAGTACAAAGAGAAAGGAGAGAGCACAGATGAAACAGTCCCTAGGCAAGATGCTCAGAATCAGAATTATGGAAATGAAGGAGAAGTGCTAATGGAGGTGACTACATCCACGAAGCAAGGGCAGTTGTTTGTGGGAATTGGAGTCACAGTTCAGCTTTTTGCAAGTAACACGATGATAGGGTGGGCACTGAAAGACATTAGTTCTGGAAACAAAATCCTAGATGAAGCTTTGGCACTGAAGCTGGTGTTGTGTAAAGCTGTACAACGCAAGTGGAGCAATCTTAAGCTGAGATTTTGTAACAAGGAACTGTGGAGACAATTAAAATATCAGAGCCCAGCGAACAGCAAAATGGCAACAGTACTTGAAGACATCTCTCAGTTACAGAGATTGTTTTGCATGTGCTCTTTTGTTTTGGATAGGGAAGAAAATATGATAGTCAGTAAAACACCGAGTGTTGATACTTTAAGCATTATTGTGGATGAGGAGCGACAGCTTCCTCAGAGTCTTTGAACACTAGTTTGTAGAGTTCCGATCGAGCCGTTGCTCGCACTTGTAATTTTTTACCATGAATGCAATGAAATCATCTAATCGTTTCGAAAAAAAAAAATCAAGCTAATCATTAAAGTCAATATAAAGTAGTTTCTTTCTCGTTTTTATATTTAATTATATTTATTTAGGGTTAAATGCACTTAACTCTCCTCAATTTTATCTGCAGTTGCACTTTATGCATTTGAACTCATTAAATAGGCATTTTGTCCCCGTACTTGATGTTTTAGAACAAAAATACTCTAACCATATTATGAGTTCAGGGGATAAAGTTCGATGCAAAGTAACATTGTGAGAGTTTTATAGCTATTTATAACTTTCCAAAGTTATAGTGACCTTCCGGTTATTACATTTCTTATTACATTCCTATTTAAAGATGGCAGCGGAGCAAATTTGAAATGGGAGGAGTACCCTTAACTGATCCGTTCTCCAAAAAACTCCCTAGCCCCCTCCCTATGCCCACTATCTCTCCCCCTTGCACCCTACTAGCTCCGGGGTGTCCCTATCTCGCACCCTACTAATAATGAACTTGCTAATAATTGTTCTACATTTTTTGCTCCAAAATTCAACATGAAATAAAGTTTAAAAATTATTTTGATCTTTTGAATTTATTTCTCTATATCTGATTTTATATAAAATCAATCAATTATCATACTTTTTTTATATATCTATAAACAACATCAAAATAGAAAAAATAAACTAACGTAACAAAATTATTGGTTAATGACAATAAATTAACTAGAAATATTGCATTAATTTATTACAAGAAAAATCATATTATTGATTTTAATATTACATACATATAGTTTTATTGTATTGTATATTTTTACGTTCTACATATCTAAATATATAATATTAAATTACTAGCAGGGAGCGGGATAGGGGTATTTTTCCCGTCCTCCCAACCCATTTAAAGCAGTAGGAGAAAGGTCTCCCCCGACCTTATTGGTCATGGATATCCGCCCTATTGTCATATTGAATCCTATTTTTAAATTGATAAAATCACAATTAACAATTGCTGAGAGCCTCTGGTGATGCACCGCATCTGTAGTTGTTACTTGTTAGGATTAATTAGGGATAATTTCAAACCTTGAGGTTTTTAACAATTTCATTTAGCTTCTTTGAGCTTTTGAAAATTACATATATCTTCTTTTTCATTTAAAATGATAATACTACCTTAAATGTTTTAATGACATTTCCTTGTTTGGTATGCTTATTCATTTTTTTTAATTTTTTTGCCAATAAAACTGTAGAATTACGACTATTCCCTCTAGTTTCCACTGTAACCAAATGTCAAATTAGTAATTTTTTTGATGAGTTAACTTATATGTAATCCAATGTTTTTACTGATTTTTTTTCTAATTTTTTGGTATTAAAATGAACAATAAATCAAAAGGAAATGGCCCAAAACTACTACAAAATTATGATTATCCCATTACTCAAAAAATTCATAAACTCTAAATGAATTATAACAACATTTTCTTTTCTATCTTATAAATCTAAATCCATAATAGAATACCATCAAAAGTATCCTATCATAGTGATAAAATTATCAAATAGTAGGTATGGACATGAAAAATTTGGTACCTTTTCCTTATAATTATATTAGATAATCTTATAATTGTATACAAAAATAAATTAAAACTCATTACACAAGCGCATATTTGGGTATTCATTTAAAAATTTGATCAAGTAAATATTATTTTAAGGTTTTGTTACTAATACTATCAAATCAAGGGAAGTAGGTGTAATTTTTCAAAACTCAGGGGAGTTCAATGAAATTGTCAGAAACCTCGGGGAGGTATCTGAAATTATCTCTATTAATTATTGGAGACTAGTTATAGGTTAAAGGGGGATAATGTAATTATTCTCTTCATTACTTCTGAGGTTGAAGTAGTTAACTAGCAGATTTGATAGTAGGAAACATTCGTAGATGTTCTTGGTACTATAGTTTTCTCTTTGATGTTTAAATATATTTGGAACTTTACAGTGAAAATCTTTATTAAATTTTTAGATTTGGAGTATCTATTATTATTCATATTTGTTTTACATGCATATGTTTGTTGTTAGACATGATTTCTGTTACTAGTGTAGATTTTAATATTTAATGAAATTTGAATTGTTTTATAAAAAAAAATTATGAATCTAATCGTTAGAACAACTTTTGCTATAGTGTTCACAAAAATGTCCGTTCTTAAAAGCATTGCAAAAATTTTATTGTGATTTTTTCACTTTTAAAACAGTAAAATCACCGCAATGAGTTGTTTCCACTTTCCAGCCATTGAAATTGTGAACTTGGGGAAAATTCAACCACTCGAAGTCTGCAACTTATCCAGAGAAAACCCACTTCAAAATGCGGGGATCCAAAATTTGGACTATTAATTTCAGACTCCTCGCTTGAGGTTTTTAATATTTTAAAAATATTATTAACCTCCTTGAAACTCTAATTTTCTTGTAACCATTCAACTCAATTTAGAAAGAGACACAATAAAAAATGATTTCAGAAGAGAGAAGATTTTGTAATTTAACATGCCCCTTAACTATTTCTCACCAAAAACAAGATAAAATAAGCCAAATTACTTTTTTTTTTTACTGTATGCATGATCCAACTCATTCTTTTCACTTTCTAGTCTATTATTAGCTATAATCAACAAGAAATTTTCATCATCCGCTACTAAAAAATAATAGCTTTCAAAGTTTAACAAAAGAAAACTCTTTTCTCTTATCTTAAGATGTTGTTATTACCAGTGGCAGAGCCAAAAAAAAATCTTAATGGGAGCAAAATAACACTAAAATTTTTTATCTGCTCTTTTTCTAGTTTTTTAAGCAAAAAAAATAAAATTCACCAACAAGTACAAATGATACATATATTCCATGAAAAACATAAAAAGACAAACTCAAAATTATTAATGTAATAATAATTTTATTTCAAAAACAAACTAAACTATTTATAATTGTTCACGACAAGTTTTCATATTTTGATAACGGTTTACGACTTTCTCATTTTGAACTTCATGAAGTATATTTTTCTCAATATAAGTAACTAAACAATTATTCATCCAAGTGTCTCCCATTTTATTTTATAACTGATACTTCACTATATTCATAGGTGAAAAAGCCCTTTCTACTGTACTGTAGCAACAGACAAAATCAAAGCCAACTTTAAGAGCATATAAACCAATGGATACACAATATCTCTCTTAGTCTCCACCAACCTTTGAGCTAGATCAGAGATTTTTCTTAAATCGAGAAATTCCTTAGCTGATTTCAAGTCATTAATATAAGTATCCAATTCAGTGTCAAGTGCAAGAATATCCAACTTAGAATATCCAATTCAGTGTGGGACGGTAGATGGGATGTGCTTATGAGCAAAGTTCGGTGTGGATAGATTTGTGGCTCTGTTGGGGGGAAAATGGGAAATCAGAGGAGTAATAAATGATGGAGAAAAGGGAAATTGGGAAGTGGGGACAAAGGAAGTAAATGATGGATTAAAAAAGAGAGACCGTCGGTTGTGGGGGGAAAATTGGGGACAGAGGAGGAAAGGGAATTTGGGGAGTGGGGGCACACTCAAAATTACGTTAAAATTGTATAAATATTATAAGAATTTAAGGGAGGCAGTGGGGGCCCGACGTCCCGTGCCCCCAATGCCCCCACCTTAAATCCGTCCCTAGTTATTACCACAATTTTGAGAGGAATTAGACCCCGCCTTCAAGCCTCTCAAACCCCTAGTTTTAACTTTTTGACCAGTATCTCTGTCCAAGCAAGCTTCTCATGTCTTACTCCTATTATTTGTCAAGCATATCAATTAAAAAAAAGGGTGCCTAGTATTTGGCACTCGTTTCAATTAGGCGCCCTTTTCAATGATAAATTGGTTATGTTTTCAGATTTCAAATTAGGATGTTGCTGCGGTATGTTTAGATGTCAAAACAAAGGTGTGGAAAGTTAAGGGAAAAGACATTCAAGCATTTGTGGCCACAAACGGTAGGGGAAGTGTGTTGGCTGGGCACGTGGAAAGGGCTTTTGTGACGTGCAACTGGAAGAGCTATTGGGCGTTGAAGGGGACTCCAACCGCGCATGTGAAATGTGGAGGGGGCGAAATTAAGCAACTGGCAAAGTGAGGGTTTGTACGTGAAAGTACGGCAGGGAAAAAAGGCGCGAAGCTTATTGGATAAGCTAAACAGTGTAGGCGTATTAGAAAGGATGAAGCGCCAAAACCGGAGCAGGAGGAATAGCAGAAGATAGGGATTTGTTATGGAGCTGGCGGTCGAAATAGATGCTTCGGATATGCAGTGGGATAGTGAAGGAGAAAGCGAAAATATAGTATCGCTGATGCATGAGAGTGGAACACCTTCGAATTATAAAAGTTGCAGCAGTGAAAGGAAGGCCATTCGTCGGACGGCGGAAACAATGGTAAGCCACTCAACTCATTCCGTGAAGAATATGGTGGATTGGCTCTCGGATGAGCAGCGGCAGGCTGTCAGAGAGTTTGGATTCGGGTCAATTTTGAATGTGAAGGGAGTAAAGGTTGATGAAGAGATGTTGAACTGGTTGGTGGATAACTTTGATGTAGATTGGAGGACACTGAACGTTCATGGGTACTGTCTACAGGTGATAGCCGAGGATGTGGAATGTGTATTTGGCTTGAGCAGCAGTGGGAAAGATATTGAAAGCGAAAAGCGAAGGCAAGAGATGGATACAGAGTTGGAAAGAGAATTCAATATCAGAATAAATAGCGGTGAAATTGTAGTGGAGGAATTGAGGCACAGTATATGTAGTTTGCATAACGAAGGCTTAGAATTCAAAGTGAAGTTCGTACTGTTTGTTGTTGGTAGGTTGTTAGCACCAAGTTTGGATGACACAGTGAGCCGGGATCTGGTGGCTGTTGTGGCTACAGAGGAGAATATGGAAAATTTGAATTGGTCGAAATTCATACTAGACAATTTGGTGAAGAGCATCCGTGATAG